GTAAAAATTGGGATATCTTTGTTGTGAGGTTTAGATGAGATGTGCGTGTTTCATCAGAGACATTTAATGTGAGCTCTGCAGTACCCATTAAATAGGGCAGGAGGCCGCCCGCCGCCCTTCCTCGGGAGGGTGAGATGGTGGGCTAGACTGTGTTCTCCTGGCACCAGTTCTGGGCCTCTCAGTGTGTGTATCTTGTGAAGCTGACTGTGATTCTGGTGTTTTGTTTTAAAAACAAGATTCTAGTGTTTTAAGACGCCATTTCTCCTATAACAGTACCATCTGAAGGCATTCCAACCACATTTACAGCAATCCCTTTCCATGCTGGAAAAAACAGCTTACTTACCCAAAGGGGGCGGGGGGGGGGCGGTGCCCATCTCCATGTGGCACATAAATACGACCTCAAGAAATCCACACATAGCCGAAGCCGGTTTGGCTCAGTAGTAGAGCGTTGGTCTGCGGACTGAAAAGGCCCAGGTTCGATCTCGGTCAAGGGCATGTACCTTGGTTGTGGGCACATCCCTGGTAGGGGGTGTGCAAGAGGCAGCTGGTCGATGTTTCTAGCTCTCTTTCTTCTTTGTTAAAATCAATAAAATATATTTTTAAAAAATCCACACATGCAATCAAAATTCAACAAATTTGTGAAACCAGGTCATCAAATTCTATAACTACTCCAGTGACAGCAAAGTTCATGTGATGAGTCTATTTTTTAATTGATTATGGCATCACATAATTGTCCTCATCCTCCCATTCACACCCCAAACCCCTCCCCACGTTTGCCCCCACCCCCCTGTTGTCCGTGACCACTGGTTAGGCTTATTTGCATGCATATGGTTGATCTCTCCCGATGACTCTTTTTATTTTTTTGTATAGCAAAGATGGAAATTTATTGAAGAACATGTACCGACTCCTAGGTGGAGAAGGGGAAAGAATCTCACAGCACAGACTCCCATGTGGGCAGGGGGATAGGGTCCCCTGATAACTTCTTTAATGAAGACTGAAAGACCACTAAATTTATGCCTGGATAAAATGAACCAGAAATCCATTACTAACAATGGCAGTATGTGGCAAGAAAAAAAGGGGGGGGGGCGTGGAGAGGAGGAAGAAAGCTCTTGGTCTCAGGTCACAGTTCAAACCTCCTGCCAGAGGAGACAGCCTTTGGATGGGAGGATTTCCCAACCAGCTGCAGATGGCGTAAGAGTTTTAGAAACCACTTTAACCTCAAAAACGTGCAAACTGTTGGTGAGGCTGTATCTGTGGAGGAACAGGCAGCAAAATCCACTCAGAGCTATTAAAAAGAAGTACTGGCCAAAGGGCTGTCTTCCAGAATATAATGAACCTGGTATCTTCTAGAAGGAAAATGCCCAGCTGCTTTTGTGTCCAAACTAGATATACAGGGTCCTAGTCTGAAGGTAGCTAATGCCCTTGTGACCGCCCCCCTCCATCTCTCATGGTGGCAGTGTAGCTCTGTATTTACTAAAGCGCACTATGTTCTGCAGGGATACAGTCCCCCGTACCGTAAAAGAAGACACAATGTTTTTGCTCGTACCGTAGAAATCAAATGCAAAATCCAGGGTTGCAGCATTATCCTGAGTTGGTTTTAGAAGTAGACTGGGACCTCAAAGAGAAAGGCCTTGGCTTCAGTGTTGCAGACAGCAGGCAGCAGTGCCATGCCAAGGTACCACGTACTTTGAGTGTGCTTATAAAGACATCGAGGTTTTCCTCCGCACAACATCACCCCAGCCCTCACTCTGCTGATCTAAGCTTGATTTGCTGCTTCAAAGCCACATCAGGAGGCTGAGATTCCTCCTCAGAGCCAGGACTGCTTACCTCAATATGGTAATAAGCTGAAGAGTTGGAAATTCTTCAGTATTGCCAGTTGCATCCTTTATATTAAACAGACAGGAAACAATCAAGCCTAAAACAGTCCATGCATTTTGGGAAGACTATGTTTAGGATGTTAAGGAATGAAGCTCGATGTTTCATTGTGGCCTAGCAAGTGGATAGTGGTGGCTTGTGGAAGAAATAGAAGAGCTTCTTCTTAAAAAAAAATTATTATTTTTTTTTTTCGGAGAGGAAGGGAGAGGGAAAGAGACAGAAACATCAATGCTGAGAGAGAATCATTGATTGGCTGCCTCCTGCACGCAATCCAGGCTTGTGCCCTGACCAGGAATTGAACCATGACCTCCTGGTTCATAGGTTGACGCTCAACCACTGAGCCACACTGGCCAGGCTTGAGAGCCACACAGAAACACTGATAAAAACCTTGAGGACCTGGCATAGCGTACAGACGCCCTCTCCCTTCTCCACCGCTGCTGCTTCTGGTGCTGCTTGTGTGCGCCTTTGGTGCGGGCCTGGTACCTCTTTGGTGCAGTGGTAGCTGAGGAGACTCCAGCACTGGCCGTGACCAACAAAAAAACCAAGGAAGGAGTTAAGACTATGTTGAAGGTGGTGGGGCAGGATGGTTCTGTGGTGCAGTTTAAGATTACAGGGCATACACCACTTAGTAAACTAATGAAAACCTATTGTGAAGTACAGGGTTTCTCAAGGAAGAAGATCAGATTTTGATTTGATTCAATGAAAATAGGAAGAAAAGAAAAAAAAAAGCTTGAGGAACTGATAAAATCCCCAAAAGACAAAGATATGATGAACAGGAAGAAAAGACCAGTTCAAATCTACAAGGATGTGTTGAAGTATTCCATACTGCCAAATACCTAAATGACTTAACTCTGAATAAAAGTGCTCTGTGAAGAGAAACCTGAGAAAATTACATGTGGCTAAATCTATACATTGTAAATTTTTATAAACCAGCAATTGTGCACATAAGAGAACAGAATTCATGAGTGTGCTCATAAAGAGAGATCGATATTTGGAACATCACATAGCTAATTAGTGGCACAGCTTCACTCACAACCAATAAAATGAGTGCTTAGGCCCACCAAAAGACTTGTACAATACTGTACCTAGCTTTCTCTATACTAGCTACAAACCGGGAACAATTCAAATGCCCATCAAGAATAGACACATTGTAGTACATATATACATGGAATACTGTAAAACATTGAACATAAGGAGCTACTGTTTCATATAACATGGATGACTCACAGACATAATATTGAGAAAAATCAGCTAGATACAAAAGAATGCATACTTTATGGTTTCATTGAAGAAGAGGCAAAGCTAATCTATAGTGATAGAGGTCAAATAGTAGGGACCTTTAGGGGTGTAGTGTTAGGGAAAGGGTAAGAAAGGAGCCTACAGGAACGCTGGAGATACACTTGATCTTGAGGCTGGAAATGGTGGTCACGTAACATATAAATATAAAAATTCATTGAGCAATTTACAGTTAGTGGACTTTACATGTGTTACATATGAATAAAAAATAAAAAGTTAATATTGCTTGTAGCATTATGGAATGTTTGAGCTGTTAACAAATGTTTGAGCAGTTCAAGATCCAGTGGCAACAACTGGTGAACACCATGTTTTAAACAGTCAGCTACTTCCCAGGCTGAACTGGAGTTGCTATAGTATAGGCTTGCTTCATCCACTGGGTTATACCCAGGTCCTGCACTATCCACAGTCCACTATCCACAGTCATTATTTTTGTTGTCACACTGACAAGAATATCCAGGTTGAGTGGATGACAAGCGTTCAGGTTTACATCTTTCTTATTAATATGCTATTAATATGCTTCCCCCCCCCTTTAATTAAAATATAAAAGCCTAAGCAACCAAACAACTGAATGACTGAACAATAGGTCGACCTGTCACTATGACGAACACTGACCACCAGGGAGAAGATGCTCAGTGCAGGAGCTGACCCCTGGTGGTCAGTGAGCTCCCACAGCGGCAGCAGATGCTGGGCTCACGGCTGTAAAGCGCAGCTGTGGCTGTGAGCCTCTCCGGTCTCCACTGCAGTGCTCCTGAGCGGCAGCGGGGCCAGGATGAGCGGGAGTGGTACGGTGCCGGCCCAGGCTCAGGCTCCTCCTCCTTGCGGGCTGCCGGCTGCTTCCTGCACTACTACATCCCTGGGGCAATGTGGGACTGCCTGTTTAAACCCTACAATCCCCTGGGATCCGGCCAAACTGGCAGTTGGACATCCCCCAAGGGGTCCCGGATTGCGAGAGGGTGCAGGCCAGGCTGAGGTACCCCACCGGTGTACAAATCCGTGCACTGGGCCTCTAGTATATTATAAAATTTTGCCCTGCCCAGGTGGCTCAATTGATTGGATACTCATCTGGTACACAACAAAGTTGCTGGTTAGATTCCCAGTCAGGGCACATACCAGGCTGCGGGTACCATCTCGGGTCAGGGCGCATGGGTAGACAACAGATGGATGTTTCTCACATCACACAGCTAATTTCTTTTTTTTAATATATATACTTTATTAATTTTTTTACAGAGAGAAAGGGAGAGGGAGAGTCAGAAACATGGATGAGAGAGAAATATCAATCAGCTGCCTCCTGCACACCCCCCACTGATGGGGATGTGTCTGCAGCCAAGGCACATGCCCCTGGCCGGAATCGAACCCGGGACCCTTGAATCCTCAGGCCCACGCTCTGAGCCAAACCGTCACAACCAAGACTGTAACCACTCCACTCTCCCAATGAGACCCACAGTTTAGGAAAGGATGGACCAGCCTGGAGACCTGTGACACCTACCGCTCCCAGCCGGAAACACAGGGTTCGCGGAACCTCAGGCTTAGAACCGGCTGACTCACAACTGACTCAGAAAGAGCCCTGCCCGGAAACGGTGGCCCCGAGCCCAGGACCACGGGAATGGAGGTCAGCACGATGGAAGGATCCCCTGGATCCCGTGCCCCTCGTCCCTAAGGGCTCAGGACGTGGCTGCCCAGGTGGCTCCCAGGAGAACGGACCCCCAGAGACCCCAAAGCGACGCAAGAAGAGAGATTAACGGCTCCGGAGGGCCTCCCAGGGGCGGGGCCTCGGGGCGGGGCGCGACGGGATGACACCGTCCCTCGCCCCCTCCCGCGAGGGCGCCGCGATGGGGCGGGGCCGGGGGCGGGGCCAGTCCCGGGGCGGGGCTTGGAGGCGGAAGCGGCGGCGTTCGGCGCCCCGCGCCCCTCAGTGACTTAACGCCGGGTTCCTGCTCAGGCCCGGCCGCCTCCCGGCTTGGGGAGCCCAGCGAGGTTCGGGGCCCACGGGGGACGCGGGCACGGGGCGGGCGAGGGGGACGGCGCCCGGAGAGGCCCGGAGCGGGCGAGCTCTCGGGGGACCGCGACCGATGGGCGAGGGCGGGGCGATGGGCTGAGAGCTGGGGGCCAACGGAGAGGGAGGAGCGGGGCCGTGGGCCAACGGGTGGGAGGATGGGGCGCATGGGCGAGGAGCCCCCCGCCGGGTCCCCTCACTCGACAGTCTCTCCTCTCCCAACTCCGTTCCAGGTCCGTCCCGAGCCGGAGCGCAACTTGCAGAAGAGAGACGCCCCAGCAAGCCTCTTTCGGGGAACCCTCCAGCTCCTCGCCCCATGGGCCAGACGGCCCTGGCGGGGGGCAGCAGCAGCGCCCCCGCCCCACAGGCCCTGTACCCCGATCACTCTTGTCCCAAAGGCTTGGAGGAGCTGCTCTCCGCTCCCCCTCCGGACCTGGGAACCCAACGGTGCCACGGCTGGAACCCCAAGGACTGCTCGGAGAACATCGAGGTCAAGGAGGGGGGCCTGTGCTTTGAGCGGCGGCCCGTGGCCCAGAGCACCGACGGGGTCCGGGGGAAGAGGGGCTACTCGAGCGGCCTGCACGCCTGGGAGATCAGCTGGCCGCGCGAGCAGAGGGGCACCCACGCCGTGGTTGGTGTGGCCACGGCCCGCGCCCCGCTGCAGGCCGACCACTACGCGGCGCTGCTGGGCAGCAACAGCGAGTCGTGGGGCTGGGACCTTGGGCGGGGGAAGCTATACCATCAGAGCAAGGAGCCCGGGGCTCCCCAATATCCACCCGGACCTCAGGGTGAGCAGCTGGAGGTGCCGGAGAGGCTGCAGGTGGTTCTGGACATGGAGGAGGGGACTCTGGGCTACGCTATTGGGGGCACCTACCTGGGGCCAGCCTTCCGCGGACTGAAGGGCAGGACCCTCTACCCAGCAGTAAGCGCTGTCTGGGGCCAGTGCCAGGTCCGCATCCGCTACCTGGGCAAAAGGAGAGGTGAGGCCTGGGGTAGGTGGGGGAGAGTGTTCTGTCACTGGCGGCTGTGGTTTGGGTTGGAAACTCAACGCCTTTACAAGGGGAAGGGAAGGGGATTTCATCGGACCCCCTTAATCAGTGCCAGGAACGGCTAAGGGTCTTCACAGCTCTTACCTGATTTAATCCTCCCATCAGCAACAGAGGTAAAGGTGAGGCTTGGGTACGCAATTTGCCATTAAGTGGTGAGCCCCCAGAATGGAGGGAGGCCCTCCGGGGATTAGGGCTTTACCGGGGCTCCTGGGTCACAGGTGCAAAGGGTTAATGGGTGCTGGGCTAGTGTACAATCGCCAAAGGAAGAGGACAGGCGGTGCCAGGCACCCAGGGTGTGTACTAGATTCCCCGGGCTCTGACCTGTGACACATACATGCCTACTTCCTCAGTCAAACCCCAGGAAGGAGCCATTGAGCCCTCCCTCCCCCACCTGGAAAGAGCAGTAAGGGCAGGGTTTGGGGTGGAGCTGAGGGGGAAGGACCTTCTTGGGGAACCAATGGGGCCTGGCTTTAGAGCTGCTGGAATCTAACTGTTCTCTGCAGCTGTAGTCTCAGCAGAGGCTGGGCACCTCTCCGCCCATCACCCATGGTGAGCTGTTGAGTGTAGGTCTGTCCTTCCTTTCACCTCATCAGCCCCATTCCCAAGGCCTCTCTGGATCAAAGCCTGGGCCAGCTCACCCCCATCAGAGCCCCTGGCCCTGCTGCTTAGAGGGCCTTGGCTAGAGCTTCACCCCCAGCTTTGACTGGGGGTGTGATGCCTCCAACCTTGAGAGCAGATGCAGAACTTCAGGGTGCATTAGATCTCTCAACCAAGATTGGAGCAGGCTCGGAGCAGGAGAGTGGAAGGGACCCTGTAACTTGAGGATGTCTAGCTGGCGGCTGCACCCCTAACCTTCCCCTCCTTCTCGCCCCCAGCGGAGCCACACACCCTGCTGCACCTGAGCCGCCTGTGCGTGCGCCAAGCTCTGGGGGCTACCCGGCTGGGCCAGGTATCTGCGCTGCCCTTGCCCCCTGCCATGAAGCGCTACCTGCTCTACCAGTGACCCTGTGACACCAGATTTGGGGGCCTTGATGCTACACCTCCCCCGGGGTACTACTGGTTGGACCAGCTACTTAAAACCAGTGAGGCTGGGCCCCTAGCCCCAACCCAGGCTCTAGGGAACCGAACACCCGAGCCACCCAGCAGGTGAAGAGAAGGAGCTGTTATTCAAGACTGTGGCGCCTGGTACACAAGATGGTTTTTTCCCCAAGTAAAAATAATGAGACCTGCTGTTGCAAAAACCTGTTTGTGGCTTTTTTTTTCTCTACCCCCCTCCCCCAAAAGGGTCCCGTGGCTGCCTCAAAAAAATAAAGAGAAATGATGTGGAAACAAGTACAATGAAGGACAAACCACAAAGCTTAATGCCAGATGTTTATTCCCACCCCCAGGTGGGACTGCTCACATACACAACACACAGCTAATGGCACCGGCGAGGACAGGGCTCTTTCCAGCCCTCGGCCTCATGTACGAGATGGGAGAGGAGGATGGCTTCTCTCTCCTGCCTTCAGTGGGGACTGGGGCTCACGAGCAAACCCCACCCTTCTGCCTCTCGGCCAAGGAGAAGCCATCTTGGTGACGTGCTTTGTTCCAATTATTATAGTAAGTAGAGAAGGGCTAGTCCCAACCATTACAGGTGTACATGATAAAGGAGAGCTACAGTGTGGATTAGGCCACAGGGAGCAGATGATTCCATCAGAAGTATGTGTGGGGGTGGGGGTAATGAGGGGCAGTTATTGGACTTCTGAGCTTTACAGTCCTTGGCATAGCAGGAAGGGCAGGGAGATGGATTTGGGCCTTATTGTTTGGCATTGATGATCTCTATGAATTCAGGCTTGAGGGATGCGCCCCCCACGAGGAAGCCATCTACGTCAGGCTGACAGGCCAGCTCCTTGCAGTTTGCCGCGGTCACAGAACCTGGGAGAGGAGACGTGAGGGCGAATGGTCAGGGATGGGCTGGGCATGCTCCATCCCCGCCTCCATGTCTAAGCAAGGCTCAGTCTAGTTCCCAGCCCACCCCACCTCAGGCCGGAGCCAAACCCACTCACCCCCATAAATGATGCGGGTGCACTGAGCCACTTCATCAGAGACATTGGACTTAAGCCATTCCCGGAGCTTTTCGTGTACTTCCTGGGCCTAGAGCAAGAAGCCAGACGAAGTTAAGACTCTGCCTTTCCCTCAAAGGGGAAAAACACCCTGGTGGGGCAGTGTTGCTTCAGGGAATCCTAGAAACCCCGAGATCCCAGTTACAACACCAGGGCTCTTCACACACACACACACACACACACACACCCCAGACCCTGGAACGAATGTCCTTGGGCAAATTATTCTCCTCCTCTGGGCTTGGCGGGGGAGGGGGTCCTGCCTTTAAAATGAAGGTTGTCCCAGATGGTCTCTGCTGTCAGTTCTACCCAAGCAGGGTAGGGTAGGGTAGGGTTGGGCTCCTGGGCGTGATTACCTGTTGGGGTGTCGCAGTCTTCCCTGTGCCGATGGCCCACACAGGTTCATAGGCCAGAACAACCTTGCTCCAGTCCTTCACGTTATCTGGGGGACAGAGATCACAGATGGCAGGGTAAACAGGAGGGAGCCATGGAGCTTGGTAGCAGGGAAATAAAGAGGGTTGTCTGCTGCCCCCTCGTGGCTGTTTAAGAAACTCCAAGAGGCATCAATACCATGGGGCAGGAGCCGAAGTGATGGAGAGGAAGCAAGGGTTCCCACCTTCCCCTTCCCTTTCCTGTATCAGCATGGGGACCAAGTCAGGCTGCAGGGCATCTGACCCCACCCTCTGTGCCTTCATGGGCTTGGCTGGGCTCATAGGTTCCCTTCAGAAATACCTGCGATGACCTTGGTTTGTTCAAAAACGACCTTCTCAGTGATACCAGCTTCCCTCTCATCTAGCTTCTCCCCGATGCAGGCGATCACTCCAAGTCCTTTATCCAGGGCATGGGCCACTTTCTGCCCAATCAGCTGTGGAGGAACAGACTTGGTGAAACACTGCTCCTGAAACAAAGCATTTCTTAACCGCTTCTCCTAGTTACTAACCTCATCGGACTCCCCAAAGACGTGCCTTCTCTCCGAGTGCCCCAGGACTACCCAGGTGGCTCCGCAGTCTTTGATCATGCAGGGGCTGCGAGAAGAGACAAAGCCACAGTTCCACAGGGAGTCCACCTGTGGCTTCCCCCTCCCTGAGGAAAACGAGGGGAGGGCCCCCCCACACCCTCCTCCCACCTGCATCTCACCTGATCTCTCCAGTAAAAGCCCCGTTAGGCACTTTGTAGCAGTTCTGGGCAGCCACAGCGATCTTGGGATCCAGCTTCTGCCTGGTGAAGTCAATGTAGGCGGTGGGGGGTGCACAAACCACCTCTGAGGATGAGATCACAAGCAAGTCTTCATTCTCTAGACTCCATCCAGAGCTCTAGAACCCCTAGCCTTCCCCAACTGCCTGAGTTCTGCTTTCCTTCCCTCTTCACCCCAACAAGATGATCTTTGTCCACATCCCCGATTGGGCCCGTTTCCAATTCCTAGAGCCTTCCAGGTGCCCCTGAGGCCATGGCCCTGCCCTCTGCTCTTTTAACAGCTGTGGCTCTGATTTCCTGGCGCTATTCTGGGCCTGAGCACCAAAGAGACTCAGCTTTCTCTGGGGCCCAATCCAGCCTCCCTTCCAAAATAGCTCTCGCAGGCAAGGCAAGGGTTTTTAGCAAAAGCAGAAAGGGGCCATGTCGGGGTTGGTATGGGGGCTTCTGGGGAGTAAACCAGAAGGGGCTGCCCCTTCTGATCAGGCCCGGGGTTCTGTGATTTCGGTGGAGGGGAAGGACCGAGGACAGCACTCTGCAGGGGTTGAGGGTACGCAGGGAGCGGAGCGGCTCACGGAGGAGACGCCGCGCTTTCCCCGGCTCCGGGCTGGAGAAAGCAGTCGGATCGCTCCTCATTCACAAATGGCCCGGCTGTCTGGCCGCTGCTCAGCCGCATCCGCGAAGGCAGGGCTCACCCCGGCTCCGACGGTGAAGGGTCAGAGCGGGCAGCCCCGGAAGCCGGAGCAGCGCCGGGGGCCTCGGCCGCAGCCAGGCGCGGGGCGGAGCCTCGGGCTACGTGCGGCGGCGCACGAGCCGAGCCGAGGGGGCAGGTGGCGGAGGCCGCACGCCCACCCCCCGCCTCCCGCCTCCCCGCCTCCCGGCCTCCCCGCCTCCCGCCTCCCCGCCCAGCCTCTCCCGATCGCCCGCGGGGGCTGGCCTCCCTCCAGGCCCGGCTCCCAGCGGTGCAGCCCCGTCCTCCCAAAGGGCCATCTTCCTCCCGAACACCCACCAAGTCCTTCCCGGCCCCGCTGCCCCAGGGCACCGTTAGCCAAGGCCCCGATCCCCCCTCCACACACACACACACACACACACACACACACACACACACACCCGGCACTGCGGCTGTGGCCCCGGCGCCGCGGGTCCATGTCCGCGTCCAGGAGCTCGGGCGCCCAGCCTGCGCCCAGGGCCGCGGGGACCCGCCGTCCGCCCCCCTCCCCTGCCCTCCCCCCCGCTCCCCGCCCCGGCGAGGCTCACCTGTGTTGGCCGGCAACTTGGCGGCGTTCAGATTGCAGATGAGTTCCGCCAGAGTGTTCTTCCTCCCATTCATCTTCCAGTTTCCCCCGACGAAGAACTTCCTGGAGGGCGCCATGTCGCTGAAGCCGACACACTGAAGGTCAGTTTCACGGCGCAGCCGCGGCCACTGGCTGCTTATATAGAGCGCCGAGAAGCAGAACTCCGCCTCCTCCGCCATGGTAAGCCCGGCCCCTGCCCAAGTCCTGCCCCCGAGTCCTGCCGCCGCCCGCCGGCCTGCCCGCTGCCCACCCGCTGCCCGCTGCCTGCGTTCTGACGTTGCCCCCTTTCTTGTAGCAACGTTCTAGGGCTCGGGGCTCAGCCGCCGCAGGAGACACCTAGGAACCCCTGCGCTGGGGGAGGGGGGGGGCGCCTCCCGTCGGGACTACAGCTCCGGAGGTGGGGTGGGGGGGGCAGGGGGTAGAAGTGGTTTCCAGGGCACGTCCATCCACTCCCCTGCTGGGCTAGACCAGAGTACTGGGCACTGAGGGGGTTCCGAGGGCCATCTTCCCAACTCTGGGAAGAGGGACTCCGCCCATCCAAGCAGCTTACACATCTGACTGCCGACCGGGTACCTTTGACCCAGGCAGGGAGAGCCTAGCCCAGTCACTGGACAAGTGACAGGGTTCAGAGGGAGAGGGACGCCCACATTGGCACAGAAACGGCACAGCTAAGAAAGAGGCCGTCGGAACCCCGAGGGCGCCCAGGAGTATCCCACGCCTTGCTCCGGTTGGCCAAGGCCTGAAAGACTGCAGGCCTGGGGCCAGGGCTCTTTGGCCACTAGGGACATCGGGGAGCACCCACTTGGGCTCCTGGAGGAAGTGTGAGGGGCCTGGAAGGAAGGGCTTTTGCCCCATTTTTGCTCTGTCACCCCACGCCAGTTCCTCAGATCTCACAGCCTCTAGCACACACCTCACCCTGTTTCCCAAGAGCTTCAAAAACTACTGAAAAGGAGAGAATTGCCTACAGAAGGGGCGGGCCTTCCTGCTAGCCCCAGGGAAGACAACTGCCGCCGTCTCAAACAGGACACAGTTTAACCCATTGTACTTTTATTCACATCATGTGTTTTGGCATTTTCCAGAGGACAGGGAAGAGACAGGGTAGAGAAAAGACTGAGGCAGGAGGGCGAGGGGGTCCCCATTTCCCTCATATCCCTCCTGACCTGACCACACAGGGAGCAAACACAAAGGGGAAGGGGGAGCAGAGACACTCCCTTCGGTGGAAGAGGCTGCACAAAGCGACGCACACGCACACACACACACACTCACACACAAATAAGCCCCTTCCACACCAGGAGCTGGCAGGACTAGAGAAGCAGAGGAACGAGGGCCCAGGGGGAGGGGAAGCAACATAGTCTCCTCACAGACAGGCAGACACCCTCCCATCCCCTTCCTGCTCTATCCCCAAAGTCTCTTGAGCGTCCCTCTACTCTGCTCAGCCTTTCTCCTAGCGCTCCTTCCCTGCTGCAGGGGACAAAAAGGAAAAGGGTGCAGAGCCAGCAGCTGCAGTCCACTCCCAGCCCCTCTCCCTCATGCCCGGTGGCCTGCCCCTGCCCTCCGCGGTGAAGGTCAGGACAGGCTCTTAGCTGGCCATTCTCTGGTAGAAGTAGATGTAGCCCAGGTCCTTAGGTGGCTTCTCAGAGGCACACACTTTCTGGTCATTGTAGATCACCCATCTGGGAAAGGTGGGGAGAGGTGGAAAAGGATGAACAAACTGAGCAGCCCACAATGCTTCAACCAGGTTCCTCTGACCTGGCCTCTGTGTCAATCCTGGTGACTGCGGGGAAAGCTCCCCGCACCTACAGTCCAGCTGCTACCTGTCCGACAAAGACCAATTCCCCCGCTGGGTGTCTGCAGATCCTCAAGCATCCTTACAGCCATCCCCACCCCTAACCCATTCCTATAAGGCAGGGATCGGCAAGCTTTCTCTGTAAAGGGCCAGAAGGTTTGGCAGGCCATTGAAAAAATATTAGCTGCTCTACAGCACAGATAATACATAAATAAGTATAGTTATGCTCATTAAAACTGCTTACAAAAGCAAGAGGCCGGGCCCAGCCCAGAGGGCTGTAGTGTGTCTGATGTTTGCGGTCGGGCACGCTCATCCCCGGTGGATTTGTGGCCCCACCAGGCAGTCCTTCACCTTCTCTACCTACTCTAAGGGTCTCCGGGATGGCCCTGCTCACTTCCACCACCACTCCCCCGTTCCCAGCGCACACCGTGGCCCCTCACCTGCCTTCCTTCTTGATGTGGCAGACGTAGTGCCCACACATGGTGGAGGTGCCCATGTGACTGATGAAGGCAAAGAGCTGGTACTCTAGGGATGGAGTGAAGGGGAGGGAGAGAAGACAATGAGAAAGGGATCCTGGAGTGACTGACAGCCCAAAGACACATCTAACAGCTCAAATTCAGGGAGTGCAGGCGTGGACTGGGTCAAAGTCTGTCTCCGCCTCCTAGAATCCCATCAGGAGTCAAGTCTCAGGAAAAAGCTCCTGCCCCGAGGAGAGCAGAGCCGCCTTGGAATGAGGCTCTGGTAGAGCAGACTGTCCTCTTTCCCGGGGACACTCACTTCCAGAACCGTCCCGGACTTTAGGTCCCACCGGCACAGACTCAGAGATGGAGTCGGCAGCTGAGCGGCCCTCCGAGATGTCCATGGCAGCTTCTGCGTCTAGGTCGTCAATGTGGCTGAAGATCCAGTCCACAGCCCGTTCTAAACTATTGTTCTTGAAGAGGAGGAAGGCATTACATTTCCAACAAGTTCGGGGGCAAGAAAACCACCAGGGAAAGCCTCAGCTCCTTCATCACAGCCACGAAGGGTGGAGCGAGCCGTGGCCATACCACGGTGGCTGTCCCCGGTCTTGCTTATAAAGGATGGAACCTCATTTCCACCCCCTTTGTCACCAGAGGCCCCAGTCCTGAGCAGGGGCAGCCCCCTACCGTGGCCCGCAGAGCTTTGAGGGCCTGGTCCCGGGAGAAGCCCATGGAGACGATGGTGGTCACGCCCTCCTCCGACGGGGGGTCCGTAGCCGCACTGGTGGAGCCAGGCCCGCTGGAGCCAGGCAGGATGAGGGGGTTTGCAAAATCTGTGGGTGCGAAAGGGTTGAAGTGTTTGGGGGAGGATGGTGGCCCTGCCAGGCCCTGCTACCCAGCCCCACCTACCTGGATCATCCATGTGAGACATGACCCAGTTCATGGCGGCCTCGGCGCCGCTGTTGCCAGTGTAGTAGACAGCTTTGCGGCAGGCATCCATCGGGAAGCCCATCTCCACCAGCTGGATGATGACCGACTCATCCAACATGGGGGCTGTGGTGGGAGAAGCGTGGGCACAGTGACCGACTCCTTGGGCCACTACTGGCTCCACCTTCTCCTCTTCCCCACACGCCAGCCCCCAGCCCTCTCCCAACCACTCCATCCCATGCATTTTTCTTCCACAGCCTGGCACCTTATCCCAGAACTGAAACGACAGATAACACAACGTGGGTCCAATATCCTAAAGGCACGGACCAAAGCTGAAGATTCCCCACGGGTCCCCTTCCTTGCCCAGTCTCACAGAATGCGCCCTTTCTCTGGAATATGACAGGTAGCCCCCACCCCTAACCAATAGATGACAAAGGTAGGGAGGCAATTAGCCCACACTACTACCATCCACACACAGAATGTGGCTGGGAGTGCTTCAGTGGGTCCCCGGTCAGGGCGGAGGAAATTGGAAAGGGAGGACAGGAGAAACACAGAGGACAGGACTGTGGGGAGGCAGGCAGAGAAGACCCCCATCAGTAAGGGAGAGAGACAGGCAGGAAAAAGAATCACTAACATGTCGGAGAGGAGAAGTGAGGGGAGCAGAAGGAGTCTTCGTCTTCGTTGCCATAGAAACCAAGGCTACCTTTGGGCTCATCCGGAGTGACCAGGGGTGGGGCAATGTCAGGCAGCTCCTCCTCCCCAGGCTGCAGCCCTGTACCCCTCAACTGGGAGATGTCTAGCTCATCTGGCATCTCGATGGACACATCTGTAATGGGAGCGGCAGGAAAAGGTCACACAGGTGCTCCCTGCGGCCCTCCCTGAAAAAGCACTTTGGACGCTCAAGCCCAGGCACCATATCTTAGCACTGCCCTGGAATATGACGCTGTTTAGAGAATCCAATCTTAGGGATCTGGTGTAATAAAAATAATTGTGGCCTGGGAGTCAGGAGACCTGGATTCTAGTCCTAGATAGACCACAAATGAACTACGGGCAAAGAAGGGCCTCCAACTTGTGGGACAGGATGATTTTATACTTCTGTGAGTCTCAGCTTATCTAGGAAATGAAGTTAAATCAGAGTTCTCAAAATCACCAGGGGCCTGTAAGGTCCATGAGAACTAATTATTTCCAGATTATTAAAATGAAAACATCTTAACAACTGTAAAAATAAAAATTGTAAAACTACAGGCCAAAACCGGTTTGGCTCAGTGGTAGAGCATCGGTCTGCGGACTGAAAGGTCCCAGGTTTGATTCTGGTCAGGGGCATGTACATTGGTTGCGGGCACATCCCCAGTAGGGGGTGTAAAAGAGGCAGCTGGTTGATGTTTCTCTCTCATCGACGTTTCTAGCTCTCTCTCTCTCTCCCTTCCTCTCTGTAAAAAAATCAATAAAATATATTAAAAAAAATTTTTTTTTAAACTACAAAGAGTTTTTGGGTTGTAAATTATAACTAAAATCAAAGAAGTCTTGGCTCTGGCCAGGTAGCTCAGTTGGTTAGAGTGGCGTCCCCATATGCCAAGGTTGTGGGTTTGATCCCTGATCAGGGCATCTAGACGAAGCAACCAATGAATGCATAAATAAGTAGAACAAACCAATGTTTCTCTCTCTTACATCAATACATTAAAAAAATCACAAAGAAGTCTAATATTTTTAGTCAGTGCTTTTCAAACTAGACACATTTTGAAACATCTAAGGTAATGCTTTCTTCTTTCAGAGGGAAGTTAGAGAAACCTTAGTTTACATATACCAAGGCCTCTTTGTCTAGCATTTTCTGCTTAACCTCCCTCACGTGTCCCAGCCATCATACCCAGTTTCTTGGGTACCCAGTCTAAGCCGAAGGTGAACTTCTTGATCTGGATGACCAGGTAGTCAGGGAATGAGGCAAATCGTGTGGTCCTAGGGAAGAGAGAATGTCCTGGTACCCAGACAATCCCAAGCTTCTATCCTGAAAGCCCCACCCTGGGGT